TGCTTTTTCATTGGTAATGGCTATATGAAATGGTTATAATTGTTATGTGCCTTCTAACACCTCAATGGTTAAATCTTTGGATTATTTTGTATGAGGATCAATTATAACAAGCCAGCATTAGCTTGCCTTTTTTTTTAATTTTTATTTTTTTTTACATTAATTGTAAATGCAAACAACCTCCCCATCTATGCAAGCATCATAGGAGTACATAAAAAGGTCTTCCTTGTCAGAATAAGTTACTGTTTAAAAAAGCAAAATGGTATGAAAATCCAATAAATTTTGTTCTATTAGACATTTCGTGTGTTACATCTCATTTTATAATGGGATGAATGTTAGGTTTGGGATAATGGGTTCACTAGGGCTGGGTATTTTCGCCAAAGTCCTGAATCGATTCAACTTTGATTCATACAAATCGATTAATATAGATTCAATCTGTTTTTAAAATTATGAAAGTGGTTCAACTGTGTTTCAAAATGCTCATGTATTTTTTTATTTTTTCCTGTCACATTAAACACCAAGTGCAAACTTGTAAATCAAACTGTTTAAACTTGAGATGTGAACAAAACTGTCTCAAAAGTGCAAACTTATTTGTGAAAAGTGAAAAAGTGAAGCCTCACTTGAGCAAGCGGGCGTGACACAGTGGGGACACAGCAGACGTGTGAACTGCATGAGCTGCATTATCTTCACTGCATAAACCACATTTGTAGCGTTGTCTGTAACAACTGCAGGGTGTTTGCTGCTCAGCAACCATTTGTTAATGTCTATTTGCAGCTGTCTGGCTTGAAGTAATCTTGAGTGCATCTTTGCTGCTCATAAAACTAATCTATCTCATTCCATAGACATCGATTTAGCAAAAACGTAAAGGAATCGATCCAAAATCGATTAAATATATTTTTTAACCCAGCCCTAGGGTTCACATAAAAATGTTTTGCTTTGGCCCCTCTTGGTAACAACCAAGAGGGGCCAAGGATGGATGGTTGTTAGCTTTGGCATTCAGGATCAGCTAATCTGGATTTATAAATGAAGTCCTCCGATGCAGTTAAGAATTCAAAAGCTTAGCCTCAGTGACATACTGACCATAACATTGATTTAAAGAAACCAACTTCAAAAAGAGAAATTAGTGATGAGATTTTTTTTTTAGCTCATCTCATGCAGCCATTTCTTTCTGAAGACGTTTCTGGTAAACGGTTTAGTACCGGTAAATGTTTTTTTTTTCTTTGGTTTACATGTTTAAGATGACGGAAATACAAATATTTCTTAATCTTTTGTTTTGTCACAACACCGTTATTCATTTGTGAACGTATAAGGAAGGTAAAGACACAACATTATTTCCTTTTTTAATTTCTAGATTTTCTAGAACTGACGAGGGGAAAAAAAGAAGCCTCCTTAGCTTTGAATGTGTGTGGAAAATATAGAAGCTCCTGATGTTTTCGTCTACAGATTCTCCTGTTTTTTGTGTCCTGGGGGAATTTAAAACAGTTTTTTTTCACAAAACATTCGTATGTTACTTAGTATGACAACAACTTTCTGACTTGGAGTCCAGTTAGTGGACTGACATATTTGTGTTCTGCTTCTTGTTCATAAAGTAAAAAAAAAAAATCAGTGTGATCACCCTGCAGAGAGCTGTAATCACCTGCGTGGGTTGCCATATCTTTTTTTGGGCTGTGCTGCATCAAGGCAGCAATAAAGTCACCTCTTTGTTGAAAGAGAAAAGCCATCACTGAACAGAGGGGGAGGATTGCAGTTTCAGCTTCCAAGTATCTAGAACTGGATCTCCCTGCGAAGAGGCTTCATAACCAGTCTCATCATGATTCAAACAGTAACAAAAAAAAACATACAAAAAAAAAAAAAAACTGACTCCAAACCTCCAGGAGAATGACTGGTAAAACACCTATTTATATTGCTGGTAAAGCTGTATAGGTGTATGAAGATGTATTCTTCTGTATAAAACCTCAAACTCAACGCTATTCCTGACATTTGAATTGAAAAAACTTCATGGATGGGAAGCGAAACGTCTTCAGAGGGATTGTTTTTAATTTTCTTTTTTTGGAATGACCTATTTACATTTGACACGTGCTGACAGAACTGACAAAGAGCCCTAAATAGATTTTGTAACATTTTATGAAAAACTAGTCCAGTTGCCTCTGATTTAGGCCTGTTTTGTTGTCATTACTTCACCTTTTAGTGAAGTTTTGTTTTGTTTTTTCTCCTTCCAAAATTTTCTTGTCTTTTCTATAAGGATTGTTTTTTTTTTGGTATTTGATACATATTGTAACACAACATGTCTGTTTATGAAAATAGTACTCACTTACTAGCCATGTATTAATTTAGTGAGAAAGAGGGTTGATACTTAAAAATCAAAATTGCCATAATTGAGTGAAAGTGGTTAGTGGGCTTGTATAAAGTACAAAAAGGGTGGATAGAATCTTGTAAGGAATAAACAATTCACTGATAGTGAAAACATTTTTTAATGATTACAATGCAATTGCTGTTTAATATTTATCTAGTTTTTCATCTTAAGTTTGATTGCCCTTCTACATATAGTTTTACTCCACAGCCCCAGTGTAGACATTGAAATGATTTATTAATGAATTTGCAGTAAAATGTCATCGCTTAAAATGCAACTTTCAGCTTTTTCACATCTATTTGGGGTTTTGGCTTCTAGCTTAAGTTTAAATTGTTCATGATAAAAGAAAACAGGAGAGGAGAAATGAAGGATTTTGATCTTGAGATGCATCGATCCAATACTTGGACCGGATATCCTCTTCGATATTGACTAATTAGCTTGACCCGGTATTGGCGATTAGATATCAGAGGTCCAATCCAGTGTGCCTTACATGGAACTGTTATTTCCTTCTTTTTACGGCTCATTTGCTGATAAATAATCTAAAGTGTATTTATATCTGTATTTTTATACCTTTTCTCTCATGTTTATTTTAAGGTTAAAGCTTGACTCAATGGCAAAATATATGGTTCAAACATTCATAAGTTGATTTGGACCGATATCGGATATTGGCTGATACGCCCACTCCAGGTATCGGTATCGAATCGGAAACAAGCTAGATCGGGAAAAACTGTATTGGGGCATCTTTGCTTTGAACATGGCATGGTTATCAGTGCCAATGAGGACCAAAATGTTTGTTGTTAAGGGAATTGTTCAGAGGTTTCCGATTATGGAAAATCAACAGTAACTCAAATATCTACCCATGTTAACCCCTGAAATCTTAAATCGGCTACAGGAGTAAAAAGAACAAAAAAAAAAAAAAAAACACCATCATGTGTTGCTTAAGTTCACCAAAACGAGAAAACTTTGCATCCCTAGAAACAAAGTTCAGCAGAAACTTATAAGACAACTCTGCA